TGATAAGAGTGTGTCTCAATTATATCCATCATTTTCAATTCAGCTTATTAAAACACCATCAAGTTCCTAATTTATAAGAGTGGTCCTAAGTATTATGTTGAGCATACTTTTGAGGAGAGGGGAAAAGAATCCCAAAGGAATATATTTCTGGGATTTTTCTAACCAGATCCATGTGGAAGAAAGCATAAAAAGATTTTTCTCAATAGATTTTGGCAAATCTGTTCTAAAGAAACCATAACTAGTGTAGAGGTGAGGAACCTGAGATTTTCTTGGCTGGGTTGGTATTCTAGTATCAGGCATCCAAGGGCATTTTGGCATCTGCACAGAGGGAGTATTCCTGGTCTGTTGCATAAGCATGTCTGAGCTGACTCCACCCACATGGAGGAGGACCTTGGCTGAGGACAGACCAATGAAGCACATTAAGGAAGAGCTGTATGAAAAATGCATCACAGAGTAGAAATAGGGAAATATTGAAAACGTAATGAGCCATAAGGTCTCTGTCATCATTTCTTAATAGGAACGTTGTTAAATAACACTGGTGTGTACGGTAGGCTATGTATAATTTAGTACAACCATCTTTTATGAGCTTTATGGCCATACACACCTAATTCTTGAGGAAAGGACTGGTCCTACTATTGTCACTTACAACACACTTTACTAATTACTGATGTAGATTCAAGCCTCGGGAAAGGTCCATAATTTTATGGCAACACTTTTCAAAACTTAGAGCAACAAAGGAAGATTGAGAGACTACTGTAGATTTTCAAGGTTGGAGCCGAAGAGGGGACATACTCTCATGTGATATTCGAACTGAAATTCCGCTTCAAGATTCTAGTTCTATTTGAAATCTGTCATTTTAAAATTAATAACTGTTTTCCTTTAATACAGTCTGTGTAAAGAAACGCAATCCACTTATGAACAGTTCTCCTTCCTTTCCAGATACATGGAAATTCACTACTGTTGCTGACAAACAAAATGCCACAAGATTTGTCATACAAATCACATTATAAGAGGTTCCAAAAACTTGACAACGTTGACAGTTGTTTTCAGCAAATGGCTGCTTTACTCTGTACTGTCAATGTTGATGTCCTTGTGCACATGTAAAAGAGCAATGTGATTAAGGCAAGCTTGTCCACGCTATATCTGAGCCAAGTTTTCCGTCTCCGCGTGGCACTGAAAGATTGCTCAGCTGTTGCAGATAAGGCAGGAATAGCTAGCAGATTTCTGCCATTTAGAAAAAAAAAAAAAAAAAAAAACAACATTCTCTGGGCATGCATTTCTGTAGGAATTTACCAACATCTGCTGCTGACCTAAAGTTTTCTATAGAAGTAGCATATTTAATTTATATAAGTAGCTCACAATGATATTGGTCAAGACTCATTTCCTGAGCAAATAATGAGATGCGTTCACCAAGAAGAGATAGGTTGAAGTTGAATGACATACATTCTTTAAATTGTCATTGGAACTTCAGGCCTCTTACTTTTTTGGCCCGTCCTAAATTTATTTTCTGCATGTTCTCTAAATTATATTTCGGTAGAGAAACTTTTTAGAAGAATAAAGAGCTAAGAGATTTTGGTGATTCCACAGAAGGCCTACACTTCACACTTATCTTTTTTTTATAGGCTCTCTGAAAATGTTTGATTTTTGGAAGCTAATTTATTCTGGAAGAATTTTGTAGTTGAATTTTAGTGTGATTTAAAATTGTCATATGTGCTATCCTTAAAAGAACATACAGGATTTAGGTATTTCATGTTGTCAAGGTAACTTTGATAATCTTTAACTCCTTTGATTTTGGGCATCAGCTTACTCACCACTTTATTTACGGATGCTCATTTTAAAATTTGTTGTTTGTCTATATTACTCTTTGTTTCTCTTGAAATATAAATGCTCTTCAGGTAAAAATATAAAACTTTTAATTTCATCTTGACAACCCAGACCTGCCTTGTAATAATGCATTTGTTGTGTGATTCATCTATTCTTATTCTTGGTCACCTTCTAGTACAGCTGCATGCATTAACTGTCTGACTTGTCTTTGAAAATCTTAAGCCACATTCTTTGGAACAGTTGCTTCATGTTGGTTGAAATTCTCGGTGGCACTTTTTTCCATTCACAGGAGCCAGCAGCCTCCATAGCAGACACATAGTTTCCAAGAACTTAGGCATGGTTCATGATTCCTGAATCTCAAAAATTTCTTTTAGGAATTGGAATACCATGTTCACTGTCTGAAACTTTTGGGCTCCAAATTATAATAAAGAAATGTAAAAAAAGAGAAATTTACATTTATGTTTTGAAGTTAAAGTAGCACACACAATTTGAAATTTTTTTCATTCTTACAGCTTAGCAGAGAGATAGAATTTAAAAACCCACTAATAAAAAAATAATCCATTGGCCATGAGTAAGTAAGTAGTTAAAAATATTAGCTAACAATATTCTTGCAGGAAAAATTAAAGATGAAAAGATTTGTGAACCAGAAACGTGGGTGCTTTTATGAAACAACTCTTATTGTCTAGTCTAGATTCACATTTTCCTGTGAACACCTTTAGGTTGTACTAAAAATATAGCAACTGAAAGTTCAAATTTTAAGTCCCAAATTACTGCCTTTCAGATCCATTGAGACATCTAAAAAATGGGTCAAGGTAACAATGCATAATTTGATAAGTTAACAAAAAAGTTGCTAATGGAAATAAAATGAAAATCAATATAATTGTGATAACCTTTAACATCTGTCTTGTTTCTACTGTCAGTTATACATTTTAGGAAGTATAAAAATCTTTGTGAAATATTTGCAACAGCAAGCTCTTTATTTTCAAGTAGCAAATGGAGAAGAAAGGAGAAATTTACCATACAGTGTTCAGATGAAGAAACAGGTTAAACATATGAGCAGTCAAAAAAAAAAGAGTAAATACAGAAAATCAGAATGTGTATCAATAGATAAGAGCACGGAGGCAGGAAAACCATGGATATGCTCTGATTTTTGCTGCCAATTTTCATTTCAGAAAAGTTTTCAAATTTTTGTTTTGTAAACTTTCATTAGGGTTATATTGATAATGACTTTTTGTACTTGGAAGAGATCATAGACTGAAAATAAAATGATAATTTGTCATTTATGAGCTTTATGAAGTTCTGGTCTTAGTTTTTTTTTTTTTTTGGTATTCATTTTATTTCCAATTACAGAAGTTTATAATCTATCTGGCACTCAGATCTTCTCACTGTCACTATCTTTCTGAAGCTTTGGTTCAATCCATTTATAGTCATTGATAGACAAGAGCCAAGAGTGTGACGAAAATAAAACCATTGTTTGTGTATATAGTTTAAAAAGAAATTCATTTCTTTGAGCACATACTTATAATAATTATATTCTTCAATAAACTTTTTGAACTTACCTTCTGACCCAATAATGCTCAGGAAGTGAGGATAATTTGTCTTTCATGGTCTTCTGTGGAATATCAGAGATATCACGGAACCAGTTCAAACAGTTGCACTTCCCACCACCTCATCCTTCTTCAAAGCCATAAAACTCTACTTTGCAAGGTGACTAGATTTACTAGATTGTGAAGGCTTCTCATTTGTTTTTGAACTTTCATATGATACTGAGAATTTCATGAGACAAAAGTGATGCTATCAATCATGCTATAAATTCTTATATGAAAGTTTTATTATGTTTTCCTGGAATGTTCAAGATAAAGTCCCTTTTACTGAATATTTCTAGAGTTGGGAAATATTTTACTGGTTGATTGGTTTCTATGTCATTTGAGTGTAGTGAAAAATACTAGCCACATTTTGGAAATAAAATCAAGTATAAAATAAGTGGCCTCTTGTGGACTGAAGAATCTTTCTATCAGTGCCTAAATCTCTCATGAGAGGTCTAGGACCACTCTGCTATGACCATATTTCTGGAGATTGGTCAAATGTACAAAGACTTGTAAAAAGAGTGAAGGTAGATGGTAATTAGGTACAGAGCTAAAAATTGTGTTTTTAACTTTTTAAATTGTGTTTTAATTCTTTGGAAAAGTTTGTCAAATGTGGCAAAGAAGCTACAATGGTCTGCTGTCATCTACAGGATAAAGTAGTACATAAAAAAACTTCATGCATCATCTAGTTTTCAGACTCACTTACACCACTTCTTCATAGCAACACCAAGCTATGGATTACCAAATATTAACTGTAATCTGATTATAGCTGGACTCTCTTCCTCCAAGAAAGCATTATGGGTTTTGTTTACCTTAGAAACAAGTATTTGTCCTGTGAAGATAGATCCCAAATGATGTCTCCTCAAAGAAATATCCACTGACCATACCAGGAAGTCAGTAGCTCCCTCAGTTTCTTGCCAGTTTTGACATTTATCCATGCTCTCTCACCTTGTTGAGTACTTGAAGGTAAGTTTTATCACTCAAGTAAGACTGTGAATCTTTGAGTGTAAGGATTACATATATACTTAAAAAAATTTCTTGGACTTTGAGAGAAACAATATAACTTTTTTTAAGGAAGTATACCTTTGTATAATATCTGTCACATATAGTCAGAATATCCCACATGAGGCAGGTTGAAAAATCTATTTACACAAGGAAACTCTCCATGCATACCATTGACATTCAAGAGCCCCTATAAGGTTCGTTTACCTTGAATAATGTGTTTGCTTTCTTGACAATTCAGATTGTGAGCTAATACTACTACTTTTATCATCACACTTCATAAGAAAGAGTTACTTCAGGTACATCTTGACTCATAGAGAAGTATCAAAACCCCCATTTTCATTTGAAAGTCTTCATTTAATTCAGAACTAAAATTGGTAGAGGAAATGAACAAGAAGATTGACACACTAATGCATCCTATAACAAGTCAGTATTTCAAGCATAGAGACCATAGTTAAGAATCAAAAAGTAAAAAGGAGCTAGAAATACAAAGAGAAAAAAAGGGGAAAAGAGACCTTTATTTGTTTACAGAGTCTAATCATTTTTTATTTTACATATAGTTCTAACAGGCTTTTGTTATTTTCACAGGACTTCTAGACTGAGGAAAATGAGAGAAGCAAGAAACATCAGCTCATCAATCCAGAATGTCAGAGAAAGCAATATTTTTTTTAAAGGAAAAAGGCTTAGACTATTCATGGACCTTTCAATATAGTCCTATTTAATCTACACTATTTTTGAATTAAGATCTAGTCCTATTAGGCATTCCTTTTCTTCTTTGCTACCCTCACAAACAACTACCTTGTCTCCCCCATCTCTTTTCTCTAGATCATTTTCCCGGTCTTTTTTTCTATTAATACACATTGTGCTGTGTCTCAAACCCTTACTGTGGCCTTCAGAGGTGAACACACATGAAGAATTGAGTACAGGGCCAATATATGTATTTAGCCCTGGGTATATCACTGCCACACCCCACTCCACAGAGAAAAGGTGCTTTTGGATCCCAGGAGCTCTCTAGTTCTTCATGAAGCTCCCAGCTGTGTCCACTTGCCACCTGACTTCTTATTGTTTCTGTTGCCTAGATGTCCCCAGTCCCTGCCTACTTGTCCTGCCAGACCACCAGGTCGGTCTGGTCTCAGGGTACAGCTGTTTCTCGCCGTTACTTTCTTCCATTATTGACAATTTCTGGATAACCTATGGAAATTTGTGGTGACAACTTTGAACAACTCTGGGTTTTGTAGCTGGCTCCTTGGAAATCTCCAGTGAAATTCCCAGAGTGATAAGAGCTAAAGAAGTTCAAAGGACCAGCAGAGATTGCCACAGAAACTGCAGCATTTTCAAAGCAGTATTGCTTTTAGGCTATGAACTACAATGGGCACAAAGAATGATTATCCCTTTTAAAAATGCTATGTTGTGACTCTCGATACTTGCCTCACTGGTTGTCACAACTGTCTACAGACAGAGTTCTTCAGTGTGTGGTGCATGGCTCCACACTATTCTGCCACTCAAGTGAAGGGTATGCCTAGGGCCTTAGTTTGTGTAAACATTGTTTTGCTGACTATGAATTTTGAACTACTAATGTTACCACCTTCCACTTAGTGATAATTTACTCTTCTATTCCATGCTGATGTTTTAGATCAAGATTTTATGGTAAAATTTAGGCACTTTTATGTGCATTCCTGCTTGCTTAGATAAAATTACAACACATGGCTTAATTAGTAAGATGTGTATGTTCATGAGGGAAGGCACACTTCCCACCATTTTTTCCCCCATTTCCAGGAAATTGCATTATGAAAATATTGCTTTGGAAAAGGAATGGAGCCATTCCCTGAGTGGAATTTATTATAATTTAGCAGTTATATAATTGTAATTGAGCCACTCTAACAAAGGCTACCATTCATTTCTGTTGAAGCATCATCTAAAAAAATCTAGCAACATCTACTGTTGGAACTGATGCCGGTCTATTGAGTAGGTAACTATGCCTGAACACAAATTTGAAATCCTTTGGGAACTAACTATTGTTCTCATTGTTTATTAACTATCTGAATTTCTAATATCCATTCTTTGAGGTCTTAAGAGATGATAGTATTCAATGGAAATACATGTTGTAGGGATAACATGCTGAACTGCTACAACTAATACTTGAATGATAATAAGTAGTCAACTTGATGAGAAGTAATGTTTAGTCAGCTTTTTTTGGTGCTATGACCAAAAGAGCTGAAAAATTTTCCTCATTAAAGGAGGAAAAGTTTATTTGGGGGCTCACAGTTTCAGAGGTCTCAGGTCATAGATGACAGGCACCATTCCTCGGGGCCCAAAGTGTGGCAGAGCATCATGGTGAAAGTGTTTGGCAGAAGACAGCAGCTCAAGATGTGGCAGCGTGGAAGCAGAGAGAGATTATCTGGTCTCCAGGGACAAAATATATACCCTAAAAGCACCCCCCTAGAAACCTACTTCCTTTAGCCACACAATAACTGCCTAGGGTTGCCACCCAGTTAATACCATTCAGGGGATTAACACACTGATTAAGGTTAAGACTCTTATAATCTAATCATCTCACCTCTTAACATTCTTTCATTGTTTTACACATGAGCTTTTGGGGGACACTTCATATCTAAACAATAAAAAGTAGGCCTATGCAAATAGTATATAGAGATGTCACCTGGAAGTGACTGAAAAAGTAGAGAGAGGTCTGAAAGTGAGAGCTACAAACTCTAATGTTTGTCTACTATCTGTTTATTAAAGTTATAAAAATTTGCTAAACTCTGGTTATATAATTATTTTGCTGAGCCTTGCTGTAACCATCTTTATTCTTTTTAAAAAAGAATATGTATGTTCATTAATTTTTTAAAATAATAAAAATTAACAGACCAATAATGAGTTCAAGTCAGTAATAAAAAGTCTCCTATCAAAGACAAACCCAGGACCAGATGGCTTCACTACTGAATTCTAAAAAAGCACTTATAGAAAAACTAATACTAATTCTTAAAGTACACAAAACATTGAAGAGGAAAGAATTCTTTCAAATTGATTCTGTGAGACCTGTGTTACCTTGCTACCCAAACCAGATAAGGACACAACAAAAAAATAAAACTTCAGGCCAATGTCCTTGATGAGCATAGATGCAAAAATCCTTGATAAAATGCTAGCAAACTGAATCCAACAGCACATTATAATGTTATTTACCATGATCAAGTGGTACTCATCCCAGGGATGCAATAATTATTCAACATTAGCAAGCCAATAAAGGTGATGCAACATATCAACAGAATGAAGGAGAAAACCCATGTGATCATCTTAATAGATGCAGAAGATGAATTTGATGAAATTCAACATCCATCATGATAAAACTCTGAGCAAATTGGGTATAAAAGGAGCATACTTCAACATAATAAAGGTCACATATAATAAGATAACAGCTTATATACAGAATAGAGAGAAACTGAAAGTTTTCTAAGATCTGGAACAAAACAAGGATGTCCACTTTTGCCACATTTACTCAGTGTTAGAACTGGGTATCCTAGTCAAAGCAATCAGGCAAGAGAAAGAAATAAAGGGTATTCAAACTGGAAATGAAGAAGTCAAATTGTCACTCCTTGAGTGTGAGTAAGTGCATATGAGTGTGTGTGTGTGTGAGTATCTGTGAGTGGTTGTGTGTTGAATGAGTTTGAGTGGGTATGTGTATGTATGTGTGAATGTGTGTTTGAGTGAGTGTGTGTATATAAAATCATGTATATACAAAGTGTCCACTAAAAAATCTTATTAAAACTAATAAGTGAATTCATAAAAATTTCAGGAAACAAAATCAACATCTAAAAATCAATAGTGTTGGTATATACCAGTAGCCAATTATCTCAAGTAGAAATCAAAAAAGAAATTTCAGTTATTATAGCTAATATATATAATAAAATTATAGAAATTAGTGAACTGGGCATGGCTGCACATGACTATGTGTAATAATTCAGGAGACTGAGACAGGAGGATTTCAAGTTCAAGGCCAATTTGAGCAACTTGGAGAGAACCTATCTCAAAATAAAAAAAATATAAAAGGCTGGGGAAGCAGCTCAGAGGTAAAGTTTCCTTGGGTTAAATCACCAGAACCAGAAGAAAAAAAGACATTGGTGAAATTATTTGAAGATGACAAAGGAAAATGGAATAAAAAATTTTTGCAGATTGCAAGAATTAATACTGTTAAAACATCCATACTTTCCAAAGCAATCTATGAGTTCAAAGCATTCTTTATCAAAATACCAATAACATTCTTCACAGTATCTGAAAATCCCCCCAAATTTGTGTAGAATCACACACACACACACACACACACACACACACACACACACCCCTGATAGTCAAAACCATCTTGAGCAAAAAGAACAAAGCAGGAGACATTATACCTGATTTCACCATATTCTACAAAGCTACAGTCATCAAAATATGATTGAGCTTTATGATTGAGCTATATCACACCTGGGTATATACCCAAAGGAATCAAAGTCAGCATGCTACAGAGATACCTGCATACCCATGTTAATCACAGCACTATTTATAATAGCCAAGTTATGGAATCAGCCTAGGTACCCATTGATGGATGAGTGGATAAAGCAAATGTGGTACACATACACAACAGACTATTATTCAGCCATTAAAAAGGGTAAAATCACATCATTTGTAAAATGGATGGAATGGGAGATCATAATGTTAAGCCAAGTAAGTCTGACTCAGAAAAACAAGTATCATATCTTTTCCCTCGTATAGGGGTGAAAAGATATGAAAGTTGCAGGGATATTATTAGAGGAAGGGGGTCAGGAGGAAGGTAGAAAAGAGGGCAAGAGAGAGTAATAAGAAGTAGACACAATCAAAGTATGTTATTTGCATATGCCATAATGAAACCCATTGTTCTGTAAAATTAAAATTCACTTAAAAAAGAAAAACAACAGATATTGGTATAAAACTAGACACACAGACCATTGGAACAGAATCAGCCAAGAAGCAAACCCGTGCTTCTATAGCTAACTGAATTTTAACAAATTGGTGAAAGGAAAGTCTTTTCAATAAATGGTGTTGAAAAATTAGATAACCAAATGCAGAAGGAAAAAAAACTAGAAAATGTGATGGATAAGCATACTAGAATACTATTCAGCCATAAAAGAAAGAAATCCTGTCTTTTGTGATAACATTGATGGAACTGAATATCATGATGTTAAGGGAAATATACCAGACACAGTGAGACAAACATTGCATGATCTCAGTCATACATGAAATCTAAGATTGTTGATCTCATAGAAGTTGAGAGTAGAATGGTGGTTACCAGAGGCTGATCAAAGTAGGAAGAAGGAAGGGATGGGGGCACCACACTTCCATAGGAGCAAGAAGTTCTGCTGGGCCACTGTGTAATAGGGATACTATAGATAACAATAAGGTGCAGCATAATTCTAAAAGCTAGAAGAAAAAAATTTGAATATTTTCATCAAAAGTATATCTATATATATCTAAAGAGAGATGTTTAACCTGATTTAAACCTAAAAATTGCATATATATGAGTGAATATCCCATGGTGCCCCATAAATATATAAAATTTTTATATTTGTATGTATCAGCCAAACATTTAATAAAAAATCATTAAAATGTTATGATTTACCCAATTCTTTTATTTTATTCCACAAATGGCAGTTTTCTCACCACTGACCTATACAGTTTCCTTTCAGTTCTAAATTCCAGTGGTTCTTATTTTGTATTTTTTTCTTAGAAATTTTTCTCAGGAAGTTTGGGTCTGCTGAGGTGATGGCTTATTTCTCTGTGGTTGTCAGTTGTGTTGTGGTCTTCATGGGAGGATTTGACCCTATGAAGATAACCACTTAGTAAGGTAGGTGTGTGTGTGGTGTGTGTGTGTGGTGTGTGTGTGTGTGTGTGTGTGTTTTGGCATGGGTCTAAGATTTAATTAAATTTGGCTCAATATATGCCATTATATGTAAACTTTCTTACCTTTCTATTCTATATCCAATATTTTACAGATAATGGAAAGCACTGACCCCTTTAATGGAGAACTATACTAACTAAAGTTTCCTATTGTATTTCTGAAAACTCATGTCAGAAAATGCACTGCCTTCAACTGGGCAGACTGGAGAGTCTTAATTTTAAAGAACCCTCTAAATGCTGGTAGGTTTTTTTTTCATATTAAAGTAATTCCATGTCTCTAATGTTTGTACACCTTCAAATAAACGTTTGAAAAACTGGAAATTCAAAATTGAAGACAAATTTTTAAAATATTTGGAAAACTTCTAGAATAAATGGATTAACTTTATAATGTATTTATTAATTTAGGAGAAACTCTTTCCTTTTGTCTAGAGCTGTAACTCTATGGTGAAAATCAACTATGCTCTAGCATTAATTTTAAACAAATCTTCAAGCTATTTCTGGGGCATAAAGTGAAGCATAGCCCATGTTTTCCCATCCTATTCCAGCAAAGCAGGTTCCCTAGAAGAAGAGAACCAGTCAAAGGCAGCTTTTGCATTCAGTGGCTTAGATGACTCACTCCCTGTGACCATTGAGATTTTTGTTATTTTCCTTCTGGAAGAAGGATAGATGGGTTTATTTTAGGTACTGGGTAAAGGGATCGTTAGTGGGAATTCTGTAAGAAACTGCCCAAGATGTGAGCTGGACAGGAATCATTCATATTCTTAAGATAAGTTACTTCAAAATATGAGTATAATTACTCTTCAAATGTTACTTTGAGTTTTTTCTTTTCTTTTGTTTTTCTTTGAGGGTAAAGGAAACACTTAAAATAATGACTGAGGATAGTGATATTTATAGGCTAGAATTGTCTGGCAGTCGTTCTTTTCATCTTAAAATAAACAGATGACTGTACGTAAAATTGCCATTGAATACTCTGAGTATTTTAGATCTGACTTTTGTGTTTGGAATGCTCCTAATATCACCTACAAAAAATCAGTGCTTTCTGCCCTGATGTTCCTGCTTGAGTCCACATAAGATCCTGAAAAATAAGCTGCACTATGTATTTTGCCCTCCCATTAAGAAACTCACCTGCAGGCTAATGCATACAGAAAGACTGGTCTGTACTGTGTGAGGTTGTTTGCAAACTGCTCCAGATGCTTTGGGGCCCCACTGGCAGCTCTGAGAACATTCCTAGGTTTACAGCCCCCTGAATAGCTCTGACCTGTTGCTGAGAGTCAGGCCAGTATGTCAAAAGAAGCACCTCATTTTCACAAGGTCTGTTCTGCAGAGCAAGTGGCCACTAGTTTCCCTTTCCTCTGACACAGTGCTGCTCAGATTTGCTCTCCAGAATAACACCCTGATACATTTGCAGCTGGTGGGGCACTGCTTTATTGCCCATTGTGGAATGCATGCCAAATAAAAACCATCATGATTCAAAATAGGCGATCTTGTATGCTTTTCAGGTTACTCAGATGTTCAAACACGCATAACCAACCATCAATATAAGAAATTCTCCTGTAAGCTGTTAGCGTATTACAGCCTGTGACTTTTCAACTCAGGGAATGATACTCATTTCTCTCTCTGTCCCATTCAGAACAACTTCTCCTTTATTGCGTTTAGAATGGTGTAACTGAAAGGCAATAAGGAAAGGCAATATCATAGAGTGGTTCACATTACGCTGAGTTTTATTGTAGTCTGACATTGTGAGTGAACCTTTGGAATCCTTGAAAGCAGCATAAAGGCAAAGCCTGCTTTTAATGGACTGAAGAAAAATATTCTGACGCAGTGATAAGTGGAATGACTTCTAGAAATCATGACTTGAAAACGTTCTCTGAGCAAGTGCTATTTCTGTTGTCCCAATTCACAGAATGATATTAAAACAGCCTGCTATGGGCCAGAACTCCTAAAATTTCCCCCCTAAGGGCAGGTTCCATTTCTAAAGATACAGAGTGATTTACAACTCCTCCAAATTCCAGCTGAAAAACTTGTCTTCCATTCTTTTCCAATTCCATTCCCCAAACTATTATCTGAAAGGTACTAGAATTTAGGTGCTAAGACAACATTCACTTTAATCTGTTTATTTTCTTTCTTTCTTTCTTTTCAGGGGGATTGAACTCAGGGACATTCTACCTCTGAGTCACACCCCCAGCCCTTTTTTATATTTTATTTACAGACAGGGTCTCACTGACTTGCTTAGCTGAGGCTGGTATTGAACTCGTGATCCTCTTGCCGCAGCCTCCCAAGCTGTTGGGATTATAAGAGTATACCATCATGCCTGACAATCTGTTTATTTATTTTCTAATTGGAAAATTGACATAAGTGATTTATAATTATGAAATTTATCATTCTTTCTTGAAAAGCAACAAATCATATTGTCTTTGTTTTAGAAATGTATGGGTTGTATACTATTTAGGTTTACATTAGTTTAGAGAACTACAGAGTGTTTTTTAACTACTATGAGAATTTGGGGTAGATTGGGAACAGGTCTCCAAGATGGTAGCCCACTCTCAGATGATTATGGTTCAGATTAGAAGTGAACTTGTTTACAATGACAGAGACCTTAGAGTAAGAGTTTCACAGATTTTTGCAGGGTGTCAGGAAAATAATCTCCTCTTTTATTAATACAAACACAAACTATTTATTCCTTTTTCCTGCCCTCTCTACCACTACCATGTCCCTGTTCTTCATGTTTCCTCAACTAACCTCTTCTGCTGTTATGCCTGGCACATAGTAGGTGCAGAGTCAATATTTGCGTATGTGAATGAATGAATGAAGGATGTTTAGGATACAAGGATTTCTTGGTTCACTTGAGTCTGCTGGCTTTTAGCAGTGTTCAGTGTATAAACTGGATATGTTGTTGACAACTCTCTTGCTCTTTGTGTGCATAAGCTAAGAATAAACAGCTCTGAAGGGAAGGGAGTGCTTCATTCATAGGCCGAATTACACCATCATAAACTCACCAAAGTGTACCACACAGAGCCAGTGATCACAGAAGACAGGCAGCCGGGCCCTGTCATTAAATATAGAAGCCTGTTTTCACTGTTTTTGTCCAAACACATTCTCTGTATTTTGGAAATTTCCACCACACTTCCTTTTGAGTTATTTCTTTTCTCAAGATACTGAGATGAGAGCTTTGCTAAGGCAGACTTGGTCAGGGGAACTGGCAAAACAATGGCCACACATCGTCAATACCCTGAAGAGCCTGTGGTGTTAATGTTTCTCCCCAGCTTTTATGGCTCTGAAAAATTTTTCCTCACCCAACTTTTATTCTATTTTTCCGTCTGAGATTTTTTTTTGGTCTCTCTTCACTGTAAAGTGGTCTCTTCTGGCTGAGAACACTCTAAGAGTGTTCAGTTTGCAGTCAAGACAGCAGGGAGACTAGAAACTTTGACTTTTTTTTTTTTAAATGAAAATTGAGGTCAATAACTGAATAGTTCCTAGTTTTCTAGACTGAAGGTGTAGCCTCTCCTACCTGTATCTTTTTTTTTTTTAATTTTGTACCAGGGATTGAACTTTTATCTTTTAATTTTGTACCAGGGATTGTACCAGGGGGCACTTGGCCACTGAGCCACATTCTCAGCCCTATTTTGTATTTTATTTAGACACAGGGTCTCACTGAGTTGCTTAGTGAGACCATTCCTGAGGTTGGATTTGAACTCGTGATCCTCCTTTATCAGCCACCCGAGCCTCTGGGATTATACATGTATGCTACTGCGCCCAGCTCCTACCAGTATCTTTAACTAAGTACCAATCACCTGGAAACTTAGGTAGAACAGGAAAATTTACTTGTGGAGCATCAGAACAGTTTCATACCCAAAGACTTATTACTTTTATCAGTGAATCATTGTGGTGCGTGTGTGTGTGTGTGTGTGTGTGTGTGTGTGAAAGAGAGAGAGAGAGAGAGAGAGAGAGAGAGACAGAGAGTATGTGTATCACAAGCCAACTTTGGTTTTGGCTATTTAAAATGTGAGACATTTATTTAATCCTTCATACAGTATTGAAAATACTATTAATAGTTTAGTAATTTTGAAATATAGATATGCACTACCTAATGATGTTTTGGTCAATGATGGATTGCACGTATGGCAGAGGTCCTATCAGATCCTATCTCCTACTACTGTTGTAGGGGTCTTAGTTTGGGAAAGTACTGTCTCATGTTCACATGATGACAAAAGTGCCTGATGATGAATTTCTCAGAACACATCTCCAACACTGACACATCACTTTAATGCAATATTTAATTAAATAGTAGATAATATTTTTAAAACTAAAAATATTTTTAATACCTAAGAAGTGTTTTATTGGATATTTTTTATTATTACTAAGAACATACTAAAATAAAAAAAAAAAAAACAGGTGACAATAATGATGAAGCTGCAGCAAGGTCAGACACGTACTCCTGTGGCTGAAGTGACAATGGGAAGAGTAGGTTGTGCAGAC